CAGAGAGCAGAGATGAAGGCGACGATGAGCGATGATGAAGACGAAGATACAGAGAGCAGAGATGAAGGCGACGATGGTGGAAGGCGACGATGGTGGAAGGCGACGATGAGTGATGGTGAAGGCGACGATGAGCGATGGCGAAGCTCAACAGGTGACCGGCGATGGCGACCGGCGATGGCGACCGGCGAAGCTCAACAGGTGACCGGCATAAACGACCGGCGATGGCTGTGAGAAGGCGACGAGGGCTCATGAAGCGACACAAAATGGCTGGAAGAGAAGGGGTGTGGAAGGGTAAAGATGGAAGAAATGCAAACTGAATGGTTGAGTGAGGCTCCAGACACAAAATGGTTAAGAGGTAAATGTAACCATTAAGAGGGTTATTTTTTTTTTGCCAAACAGCCTTTACCTCTTAATCGGTAAGAGGTTTCCTCTTAATGTCACCATTAAGAGGCAACCAAACAGCCCCTTATACCGGTGTCAAACCGGTAATAAGAAATTTTTGAACAAGTTAAAACTTTCTGACTTATAATAAGTTGATAAGTGTTTTTGTAGAAAAGTATAAGTTGTTTCAAGTAAGCAGTCCCAAACACCCCCTAAAAGGAGAAATATTCAAGTCTTTAGTCAACTGGTGAAATACATCGAGAAGGTGAGGTCGTCTTTATTTCCAATTCTCTCAATCTCTAACAAGTCAGCTAACGGAATTCTGCTCCTTGGCATTCACGGATTGGTGGCAACGAAGTAGAAAGCGAAGCTGTCGAAGGAACTCAGCAAAATGACCCCAAGGAACTTACGCCGAAGAGTCCTGTTAAATGATGATTGAGACGTTAGAACACGATCCCCTAATAGAAATCACATCCAATTTTTCTTCCATGTAATAAAACAAGCATAAACGAATAGAAACTAAAAAACCCGAGAAGACTATAAAGAAACTACAAACAACCCAATTAGAACATAACCAACGGAATTTGGATGTAGTTTTTTTAAGCATATAATATTTATATACCGTAAATAAAACTTAAACAAACTTCACTTTCGATGACTTGGAACCTTTAATCTTTAGAAATGTTGGGTTACCGGGTGCTGTTGGGCCAATGGCGTATTGATAATACCAATCAAGTAGTCTTACGTAACACTGATGGGTTTTTTTTTGGAGCTGCTGATCATTTCTTTAATAAAAATAACATAAGACATTATAAATCAGTATTATACTTTATTATATATTTGTTATTTTTGAACATATTTTTTTAACTCATTCTCTACGTCCTTTTTATTTTTGTAGTATCGTGGTATACCAGAATTTTGGAAATAGACCAAAATGAATATGATTTAATATTCGAATATAAGACTTTGATATCCAAGACACCCAAAGATCATAGTAATATCCAATGCTGAAAACAATAAAAAATGAATACATTCCAAGATACCGGGACCATTAAAGTGTGGACACACTATGTACCCAAAATAACATCGTAAACATGGATAATAAACTATCTAAAAATAACACCTTTCGATGATGGGGGATACTTGTTTCCGTTAAGTGGAAGAGCACTAAATAAGCGGTTGTTTACTAAAAGCTTATCCGGTAGGTGCTTATCGGGCAATTTTCCTCACCACACGAACATGATTATGCCCAATAATCTTATCTGATAAGAGCGATAATAAAGATAGAGAGTCTTACCCGATAAGTGAAGTTGACGACTCTTATCGGGGTAAGCGCTTACCAGATGTATTGTTGCATACGATACCATTTTGATATACTACAATCTTACCCAAAAATAAATTATAGTGTTGGTTTTTAACGGTAAACACTTACCGATAAGCATTTAAGTAGACAACTCCCAAGTCACTTGAGATATTGACAGGTAAATCATCCCAACATACAAGCCTTGGTAATTACTCCCTATTTGGGAATAATATGAGAACATCAAAACTCCTTACTTAGTCATTCCCCAAGTTTCAAGATGAGAACATCAAAACTCCTCACTTGCCTAAAATCAAAGATTCTAAAGCGAGAACATCAAAGCTCCTTGTCAAAGACCTTCCAGCCTAGTGGTAAAGGCTTGGGAATGGCATAGTCATGAACCCGAATTCGAGCCCTGGGAGGGGAGTGTTGGCGACATTTAAGTGGAACCATGTTTAACCTCCAAATTTGCCGGGGATTAGTCGGGCTTTGGCCCGGACACCCTTAAAAAAAATCAAAGCTCCTTATTTTCCTGAACTTAAAACTTCTCTTTTGTCAAGACCAAAGGGATCAAGCTGAGAGAGAAGGGTGCAATAGATCACACCAACTTATAGTAAGTATAATTTAAAAAATAAATAAAATGAAATTGTAAAAAGACAATATTACCCTTCAATTAATGGAACTTTGATTAGTGAAGTTAGGACAAGGGAATCGATCCATCTCCAAACCCTCCGTTAATTCTCCATAGCTTCTATACATAAAAGGTCCACTTTCCTTAAAAGTCAAATATGGAGCTCCATTCATGCTCACTTTCACATGCACCCTTGATCCCATCTCGGATGACTCCTTCCCGCCTTGCACTATGTGTCTTCGGTAGGATCTCATCGGCGACCACCCCACAACTTGTTTTCTGAAAACTATTCAGTTCACATAAGTTTTTCTGCATGTGAATATCATCAAAATATGGAATTTGCAGTACATTCCGCATGTAGTTTGTTACCAAAAGACTTGTTTTTCTCTTTGGTTGGTCATCGGTTCCTGATCATCCCAATTTGGGCCTGGTTGCTTTCTAATTGAGATCGATATCTTCAAAAAGATTAAAATAACATCTCTTTTTAAGCACATATTCAAGACAGAAAATAGTCATAAAAAAGCAAATATCTATCAGATGGATTTTAAGATATGTCAGCAAATAAAACCAAGCATAATTTCCAGGGCCCTCTTCCTTATATGTTGTACACACCCACCATAATAAACCCAAGAAGTACATAGTCACTATGTGTTTTTATCTCAACCAAACAAACATCGTAAATTTTTTGGAACACTCGTGATTGTTTTCTTGATTTCTGATGGGTTTTGTTTTGAAATCGATTTATTACACTAATTAAAGTAATATGTAATAGTCAATTTAGGTGTCTAGAAATATGTGATGGTTTTAGTTTTGTTGTGTTAACGGTTACCAGTGATGAGGGGAGCAGGCGATGCGTTTTTAGTGACCTTGTTGTAGACAATGAATGGCTATGGGACGCTAGAGACGACATGTCTTATTGTAGAGAGCGGGGTCGTTCAGTGGAGTGTGACATTGAGTGGACTGAGATGAGAGATGAGGGAAACACCAGAGAAGAGAGAAGGCAGCGACAGGATGTTGTTTGCGGGGGAAGCTGTCGAATTTGTAGGGCGTGTCTGTAATTTACAGACTATAACCACAAGGGTAGTGTCCGATTGATTTGAACCTAAACTCCAAAGATCAAAAGTGCCTGGAGATTTCAGGTTCAAATTCAAAGATGAATAAAAATTCTCCTTATGGCCACAGAGGTCCAAATGCGATGTGTGGTAGTGTCCGATTGGTTTGAACCTAAACTCCAAAGATCAAAAGTGCTTGGAAATCCCAGGTTAAACTCCAAAGATCAAAAGTGCTTGGAGATCTCAGTGTCCGATGTGTGGTAATTATTTATTTTGTTATAATTCGATAATTATTCTAATTATATTTTAGATTTTTATATTAAATAAGATGTTTATCCTCTATTTGATTACGTTTATCCGCAATTAGTTATACGAATTCAAATATCGAGCTTTAATAAGTTGTACTTTTGCATAATTTATTTGTAATATTGAATTTTAAGTAAACATTGGTTTTATGTGGTTTTGAGAAATTGATAATGTTTTTATTTTTGAATAAAGTATAAATTTAAAAATATCATAAATTTTTTTAAAAAAATATCGATATCGGTATTAAATTAATCATTTTAAAAGTTTTGTGTTTTAATGTAATTTCTTTAATTAATTTTTTTAATTATATTTTAATTTAGGTCTAATAACAAAGAAATTTAATTTAGGGTTGATAATATATTTTTTTAAAGATAATTATAATCAGGTATTTTGTTATAATTCAATAATTATTCTAATTATATTTTAGATTTTTTATATTTAAAATGAGATGTTTATTTAATATTTGATTATGTTTACCTGCAGTTAGTTAGACGAATTCAAGTATGAAACTTTAATAAGTTGTAGTTATGCTCAATTTACTTGTAATATTAAATTTTAAGTAATATGCATCAATAAACAGTACTTCGTGCATAAAAAATTGTTTTTAAGAGTTTTTGTTAAATGCTTTATAATATAGTATTACTTGTAATATTAAATTTTAAATAATATGCATCAATAAATAATACTTCATGCATATTAAATTATTTTTAAAAGTTTTTGTCAAATATTTTTTAATATGGTATCAGTAAACAGTTTTGAAATTTGTTTCTAAAACACGCCGTTTTAAACCTAAAAATTTAAAAATTGATGGTCTCCATCCTGTTCTTCCCCTCCTCACGCCGTCGGCCTTCACCACCATCCTCCCTTCAGTGACAGCGTCTCCCACTGTCACATCTAGGGTTTATTTTCGGTAAGTTTTAGTTTTGGCAAGTAACTGATTTTTGTGTGCACAATCTAATTTTTGAAATGTATGAAGCCCTAGCTAGGTTTTGATTCATTCATGTTCTTGTTTGTTCTGGTTTTGAATTTTTAATAAACCAGGATAAAATGGTTTCTGTATACTTCAAGTTCACTCGGTTAGGTTAACAACGGGAGGTGTGTAAACAACACTAATCAGTGAAATATTGTGTTTTCTTTTTTCTTTGGGGAAATTGGAACCTCCCCAAAAGTTATTTCTAATTAGGATTTTAACATTGATATGGATATTTGACTTTTTGAGTTTATATCAAGTTCCAACAGTATTTTTGGTGTTGTAATTCGCAAAAATTCCATATCTTTGCAACTGAGGTCTTAAGTTTGAAATGCAAAATCAAAATATTGCTCTATCCTTTGAAGTAGAGGCACTGAGGGAGTAGTGATAGATCAAGAATCGTGAAGTGATTGTGGTCTTCTTCTTTCTCTATTTGCAGAGAAGAGTCATGAATGCTCCAGATCGATATGAGCGATTTGTGGTACCCGAGGGCACCAAGAAGTACAGTTTCTCACTTTCATTTGCCCTTATGTTCATGTTCATAAATGAATGATCACCTTGATTGTGTTTTGTGAATTTTGCTAACTCTGCTTGTTTAATTTAAAAATAATAATATTAGGGTCTCCTACGAAAGGGATACAAAGATCATAAATGCAGCCTCGTTCACTATTGAAAGAGAAGACCATACCATAGGGAACATCGTTCGCATGTATGCAATCTCCGAAGTTTAACATATCAATTCAACGGTCTGCAAAAACATATTTATTGAATGAATTTGTATTATACCAACAGGCAGTTGCACAGGGATGGGAATGTTCTCTTTGCTGGTTACAAACTTCCTCATCCTCTTCAATACAAAATTATTGTTCGGGTTAGTATTATTGGAAGTTTATTCTTGTAGTTCATTGAAAAAGTATGCATCTGCTTTTTCAAAGACAAGATTTAGGATAGCTAAACATCAATATATCCTTATGTAGATGTCTTATTTTCCTTAAAAAGTTGCCAAACATTTGGTTACTCAAATGCCGCTTTGGCACTATCACCTTCGTTCTAGTTGAAAGGAACAAGTTTCTTAATAAGATGATATATCTTTCTCAGATACTATTTATAACTACATTAAGATGTAAAGCAACTAATTCCGCCCATGCTTTTGGAGGTTAAATTAAACAACCGGCATTGTTCTCTAATTCTAGGAGTGAATTGTTTGGCCACAATTTTTAATTATATTTCTCTTTTTCCAGGACTAGTGAATTGTACTCATTTCTTTCGAGGACTTTGTTGCTTTCAACTAGCATGAGACGACAATGATCTATATGCAGTTGGGGTCTTGTTGAATATATTCCTTCTATCTTTGGATTCGTACTATAAATATTGACTAGTCACGCCATATTGATTAAGCTAGTATACTAGCTATGGCCGTAGATTCGTTTGCTGGATGAAAGACTTGTAGTTGTTCATTCCATAGTGTGACATAATTTCGAAGTTTGATAAAGTTGCAACTTGCAAATGTTGTATGTGACAGGAGGTTCAAAACATGAATTGGCATGGACTGAGGGAGATACATGTAATTGTGAATGCATCAGTTGCCATTATGGTTGGAGCATAAAGTCGCACGATACGTGTGTGTGAGATAAGGAGGTTAGGACTTAGGAGGATAGGCTACAGTCAGACAGAGCATGGATTATGTGAGAAGGAGAGTTCAGAACTACTGGCTTGTCATGCCACATTTTAAGTAGAGGATAGCTGTGATTTGAACTACAGGGTATCAGTTTAGCATGCAAAAATTCATAGTTGAACAAATCAAATTAGCAACTTGAATATTTTTGGGCAAATGATTTACCATACCTAAGATTAGTCTACAAGTTTGAGTGGAATTGGCTTTAATGAGTACTGCATGGTTCAAGTGTGTGCTGTCAAAGAACGGGGAGACATGCGTGAGAGCAAAGTAAATATGGCCACTAGGAATTTTGGATGCAGCATGGTGAATTATCACAGTGCTATGTGAATAATAAATTATATTGTAAATATTATTCATGATCATAACATGCTATCTTAAATAGATGAGACAGTTTCGTGATCTCTCATTCCTAGTGCTACCTTTGCACTATCAAGTATGTAGACTGTTTTTTCTGCATGATCCTGGGTAATCAATTGTGGAGCATCCAATCATGACTAGGAATAGGAGCATATGACTTGGTTTCAAATATTTACTTCCCACTTCCCATTCGAATGTCTAACTTGACTCGCGTATGGCTCTTTATGTCCCTTTAAAGGAGTCGTCGGTACCTCCCATATAACACACCTACTTTTAAGTTTTGATATGCATCAACATTTTCTGATAATATTCTTTCTTTTAGCCAAACTACACGTGATATAATTTACTTCCATACCATGAAATTGTTAGAGCTGAAAAACTTACTTTATTATTGAGGTGATCATCACCTTAAATGGATTACATGATAACTGATGATAAACACAGGTGGCTAAACTTAGTGAAGATAAACACTAAAGAGTTGTGAACTGTTATGACTCTTTTAATAGCTCTGAGTTCTGAACCTCTTGTGAGGGTAGGGCTATATGGGTTCTCTCTCTCTCTCTCTCTCTCTCTCTCTCTCTCTCTCTCGTCGTGTTCAGAGCTGCAGAGTCATTACTCTTGCTGCAAGCTTGAAGCGAAATGGTACTGCTCTGTGAATAGAAAGAAAACAGTTGGAGGCCAGGAGTAAATGCACGGGTGACACCATGGTAAAACAGAACAGACAGAGCGCTCAGTACAGCAAAAGAAGATTCAGGTGGCAGGGTGTGGCAGCGATTTGGGTGATTAAGAAGTTTTCTGTGCTGAGTGCTGACAGAGAGAGATAGATCGAACTAAGTGACCTTTCTCTCCTATTTTTGTTTTCTTCTTATGTAACAAATTGTCACTTGGAGTTAAGTGACTCCAATCAGGTTACTGGGTAGGCGTGGGCCCTTACCTGTATATCAGAGCTGGATTAAGACAGCTCGAATTAAGTGATGGATTTGATATGGACCCTACCTGTATATCGGAAGTGGATAACAAGGACCATTGTGTTCGAATTTGAGTATCACAGCGCATATGTGTTAAATGCTTTGTATCGTGTTCACGGTTCTGTTTTTTATGTGTACGGTTTGGAGATGTGTTTTCTATTTAATCTGTAATGGCAGAATCTTGTCATATCTAGTTATTGGGAGGTAATTCAGTATTTCTTTGTTTATTTATTTATATCCTCTATTATAATTGGTGCTTGTAGTTTAACCGTGCTTGGGAAAATTCACAGGTTCACACAACTAGCCAGTCGTCGCCAATGCAGGCTTATAACCAGGCTATCAACGATCTGGACAAAGAACTTGATCATTTGAAGGCTGCATTTGAGGTGTGCACTTTTTTCTGTTATTGCTTTTATCTGTGATTTGAATAGAACAAACACTACCATTGTCTACCATGTATATATGTGAATTGTATTGCTGTTAGGCATTGCATGGGTTTGCTAATATATTTTCTTGATGAAACGTTAAGCAATGTGACTATGTTTGATAACAAACAGTAGAGCTATATGGTTTTTTTTTTTGGGGGGGGGGAGTAGTGAAGTATGTTGTGATTATGATTAACTAGAAAGGGTACTCGCGCAGTACAACGAGATATATTTACATTCTAATGTTTCATTCGGTTTCTATAGATGTTATAATACAGTTTTTATGTGGTTTGGAGAAAAGAATAATGTTTTTATTTTTGAATAAAAAATAAATTTGAAGATATCATAAAATTTCAAAAATAAATATATCAATGTTAATATCAAATCAACTATTTAAAAGTTCTCATTTTTTATGTAATTTCTTTAGTTCAATTTTTCAATTATAAATTAATTTAAGTTTAATAATGAAATAATTTATTTTTGGTTAAATAATATAACATTTTATAAAGATAATAATTAAATATTCTGTTAGAACTTAATGATTATTCTAATTATATTTTATATTTTTTATATTTAAAATGAGATGTTTATCCTGTATTTGATTATGTTTATCTGCAGTTAGTTACACGAATTCAGATGTGAAGCTTTAGTAAGTTGTACTTACGTGTAATCTACTTGTAATCTTGAGTTTTAAGTAATATGCATTAATAAACAGTACTTTATGCATAGAAAGTGGTTTTTAAGAGATTTTGTCAAATGCTTTATAATATAGTATAGATAATAGAAAGAATGTCGATGCAGTTGCAGAGTCGAGTAGTTTCTCTGCTATCTTTAGGCTTAAAGTTAATGTATGTTTGTTATTTTTTTATATTAATTTTATCATTTTATGGTTTCATGTTGTGATGAATGTCTTTCATCAAAGAGAAACCTCCCCAAGTTAAGATTTAGAAGGATATGTGCACTGATGTATTCATGAATAGGACGTTCTAGGAAGTGTACGATAGACCGCCCCGGCTCTCCCCATGCCTTATCTCCATGCGTCACCACAAAACATAGGGACTTTTTGACTAGGGATCTGTTTTGTTGTTCACACTCTTTCTAGGGGTCAATTAAGGTACACCTGCACCACTGCAGGAGGGATCTTCTCTGCTCTAAGATTTCTAAATGTAACTTCACTTCTTTGGTAGCTCGATAATTATCAGACCAATGTAAAACTAGCATGACATATTTGCATTGCACCAAAATTATATCTTCTTTCTTTGGCCCTCGGTTTTGTTTAATGAAGTTACTCACTGTAGGGAAAACATGTACTGATAGAAGTATTAAATACATGATAGGTGGACGCAACATAAATAAAATATTGGGGAGATAAGAGCCAGGTAGGAAAGACAGCAGTTATAGATGTTCGGATAATATACAAGGGTTAGACTTAAAAGTTTTGAAAGGAGGAGGTTGGGGGAATTGGCAGGTAGGAGCCTTTCTATGTCTATCTTTATCCTCCTAACTCTTAGAATGCATTTACCTTTACGCTTAAGTATATACCCTTGTCAAGGTTTTAAAAAGCGTAATCGGGCCTCGAGGCGTTTTCCCTCGGTGAGGCATCAGCTTCGAGGTGGTCCGAGGCGAAACAAAATATACATTATATATAATATACTAACAGAAGAGCAATATACATACACCATATACACTAAAATAAAATTCATTAAATATATAACAGAAAATATATTGTACATAATATACTAACAAAAAATCAATATACATACACAATATATATATATAAACATAAAAGATATTGTATACCCACAAGCCAAGGAGGTTAAAATGCAACAAGCCAACAGGTAATCGTACAAGTCTTAATGCAGCAATCTAAAAACCAGGTATAAGCTTCATGAGCAGGGGAGAGAAGAACGAGGTCAATCTATGAGGGAAACGACTGATTTGGGGAAAAGAATGAAGTTGCTTATGAAAGAGATGGAAAGAAGCTGCCATATTTGAAATTTTAGGGTTGGGTTTGTCTTTTAAGTTTTCTATTAAATAAAGAAGAGGTTTGAAAAATAAAAAACAAATAAAAACACATGCAATGTATAAAACAAAGAAACTTTTATCTCTAAACAGAGGTGCACGCCTCTGAAACGCCTCACCGCCTCGACACCTCACCTACCGCCTCACCCCTGTGAGGCGTACAACCATACAAGCAGCAGGAGACGACACCTCAGAAACGTTTTAGGACTGCCTCGCCTCGACCGATTTCGAAAACCATGACCCTTGTGTTAAATCAGCTCTGACTAACTATTGAATTGTTCTCATGTATGCTAATCATGGAAGATCCTATCACCCCTCTCTATCTTGTGAACCAATGAACAATGAAATGTTGTAAAGGCATAAAGCGAAGAATCTTTTCATCCCAGCAACACATTAAAACCTTGGATGTTTCATCATTGACCTAAACAAAGCTTGCTCTCACCTTCTAGTTGTGGAACCTATTTTGGAACTTGGAACAATATCATTAGCTTCATGATGCCCATTTTTTTCAACAAGATGAAAGAATATATATTCAATCAGAAGTGAATTGTGTTGTTAGAGGGAAAAAAATTGCAATCAGATTTCATCACGAAGGTAGAACTAAACCAAACTGACCCAAACAAACCCAGTAAATCCCCCACGAGTGGGTTTTCGGGAGGGTAAGATACACAGGTTTCCTCCACGCAAGGAGTAGAGAGACTGTTTCTGTGAAGTCCCCCGGCTTGCGTAAAATGTTTTTTTTGCTAAAAGTAAGACTGTCAAATGCAAGACAAACAGTTTTCAAACGGATGAATGAGAACCTTGAGACGAACTTGGGAAGAAAGCCATAATGCATTCCTATTTGAGCATGTTGGTTACTGTGACCATACATAATTGAAAAGCATGATATTTAGATGAGTAAGTAAACACTCAAATGATAGGAAAACATTCAGGAAGACTACTGGTTGCTGTAAAGTTTTTGTAAGAAAACTGGTGGATGATGCATTTTGTATGGAGGAATAAATCCCCAATTCTATATAGCCAGAAAGTGTTTGGGGTTTTTGGTGGAAGTAGCTTATGGAAAAAAGAACATAATTTTTTTAATGTAGGCTGATGTTTGAGTTAGTGGTTTAAGCTCTATATTTCTCATTGGAGACTCCATAATCAATATCAAAGCTTCATTTTACCTATAACGGATTTGCTTGTGCTGTCTACTATATTGAATACAGTAATTCTAGTGACAGCACTATTTAATTTATTCGGTGGATCATATCTGGCTGATTATCTTTTGCTTAGATGAATATTCTTCTAATTAACCCCGGCGTAAAATCTCTTTTATGAGGGCAAATTGGTTGAGTCATTTAGTGTTTTGGCTGAAAAATGGGATGTATGGGCAAAAATGAGGTATGCCAAACAAATGACTTTCATGCTGTAGTTGGCAAAACTTATTATACTCTATAGTCTATAGCATAGAGGCTAAACTAGTGACTTTTTCTTGAATAAACTGCTAGCTTCCTAGTGCACGGTACCCACCTTGGCCAATCAGAAGGGTGGCTTTTTTTTATTAACCTGGATATCCAACCCGCTATGCGAGCCGACTAATCCCAGGGCGACCACCTGCTTTGCGGGTAGTCCGGAGTCACCGCATTTGAACATTCATGGCCACAAGGGGATTTTTATTTCTTCTTGGATTTGAACCTGGGACCTCCAGGCACTTCTGATCTTTGGAGCCCAAGCTCAAACCAATCAGACACCACCCTTGTTGTTAGAAGGGTGGCTTTCGTGCTCAGATAATTGGTTCTTTGCTGCGTTCATTGTGTTGGATCGTTCTTGATACAACTGCTTTTCGGCTACCAATTATCTAAACCAACCTAAACAAGCCTATTATATCCCACGCAAAGGAGTGCTCTTGGGCTGTTAAGATGTATGCAGAACTGGCGACCATTAATCATTAAAAAAACAAAAAAATCTGAATGATGTCTTTGTTACTGGTAAACTTCTGGACACATTATCGTCCAAGAAATAGTAGAATAATGCAAACCTAGAAGAATAATACAAACCTTACTCGTGAACCAATATGTGCTCTCTCCTTTTGCCTTCAATCTAGCCTGTCATACCAAACAAACCCAGTATATCCCACCCGGAGGTGGACTCTTGGGGGTGGGTTGTTTGTACGCAGATTTGACTACTACTCCAAAGAGTAGAGCAACTGTTTTTGTAAAGACCAGTTTGTCATGACATACGATTTTTCTTATTCACTTGTAACATTTTCTTGTTTTTATTTGTATATGGCAAATACTTATGCACACTCCTCACATTTGATGACCTTTAAGGAGGTTGGGATCTACCGGTAACCCGAGTACCGCTGGGCCAATGACCTTTTAGTCAATTTTTCTTATTTCTCACCTCATAAGTGAAACATAGAATTTTTTCTCCTTTTGTTCCTCTCACCTTCTAAATACACTTTTACAGGCCGAGGTCGCAAGGGTTTCTGGGGAGTACTAATGACTATGTGAGCATCATCTTTGAAGACTTGATTGCACATAAGCTCCATCTTATTTTGGTAAGTTGATTTGATGTTTGGATGCATGTATGGAATCTAAGTAAAAAACTGGTAACTTTTCATGGCAAATTTGAAGCTGCAATTACTGATAAACTCATCAGATTTGAATTTCCATGTGGATTGAGAAACTTAACCAACACAATGCTCACTATGGTTTCATGTATTAGATGCTGCATATGTTTGAGCTTCTTAACCAAGGATGCATTTCATTTTTGGGCATGGAATTTGGGAACAATACTCGAAACGGGAGTAGAGGATTTTAAGGAATCTCTTAGGCGTCACACCGTCATTGAGATGTCCCAAAAAATGCCAACCTTTCTACTTTGCATGGCCCCAGAAATACTACCACTTTATGTTAACATCGTAACAATCAGTGTTACATTGTCCGGAACATATTATTACAAAATTTTAGGCGGAACAATCGTGTTCACAAAATTTTCTAAAGTAATATCTCGACCCTAATCTGCTTGGGTATCACAAAAGTTTACTTGAAGATATTTTCAATTCAGATTCACGATTTTGGCAGAAATCAACATGTAAAGTTTACTTGAATGCTTCTTTTGTGAACTCTGGTGATTTAATGGATGTATTTTGGTTGATCGACATTTTTATTTGCACTTGATGGTTAGTAAAGTTACCGGCCGTTTACCAAACACTTACCCGATAAGCGCTTACCGGTAAAATTCAACACTATCACTCTCTTACCCGGTAAGATTTTAGTTCACCAAAACTGTAACACCCCCATTCCGAAGGAAGGGAGGTTACTACAAAACGTAACGGAGCGCTATATAAAACCTCCAAAATATAGTCTCCAATACAAAATAAAATCTTCCAATAACGAAATTGAATATAACTCCAAATAAGATATAAAGGTCTCCAAACAAACTATTTCCAAAATCCTCCAACAACCGAGGAAAATCTAAAAACAACCAAAGAAATCTAATCTAATAGCTAGAAAGGAACAAAATCTAATAAATGAATTAACATAACATTAAACCTCTTGAAATCCTTGGAACCAAGATTCTGATCTACTATCTGTCACAAAACCTAGCCGCCCCTTGATTATCTGCCGTGAGGAATAGAAGAAAACACGGCTGAGCCAAATGCCCAGTGAACGGATAAACAAATATAGAAAAATGATAAAGCAAACATGCCAAAATCGAACCAAACGAGTACCAAAATCTTAGAAAATCAACAAATAACATAATCATACGAAATCATATGAAGGGACAAATCGAGCTCGAAAACGCATACACTTGCATATTAATTAACATGACAAGTATCAGACATATGGCCACACAGGCCTGTACGTTGGACTGCAGATCCACACGTACCAAATGTGAGATGTGGCGTTGGACACTACACCGACATCCACCCTACAAACGAATCACATGTGCTAGGGCCGACCCATACGCCTCCTAAATCTAATATCCATCACACCAAAATAGCTCTCAC